GGTATATCGTGAATTGACAGAAGTTGAAAACTGTGAACCACTGAAAATCGACCCAGTGGCTGAATGGTTAAGGAGTTCGCCATGATACCTGAAGGTCATGAGTTTGATCGGTAGTCGGAGTCGTGTACTATGACGAAACAGCTGTTTACTGCTTCCAGGTTTTCAATGGTTCCCCAACTGATGTCAGTTCGTGATGAATACTACCTTTAAATTAAAATCCGCATGCATTTCAAAAATACATGACCAATTCATACACCATAAAGTCGACTTTGACACAAACTAAATTATTCAGAATAGCTTTAAAAATTATAAAGGAAGTCTCATAACATCAAGTGGAATCGAAATAGTCTAAAAGGGAATAAAACATCGTACATACAAATCTCAAGCCAGTAATTTATAGGCTCATCTAACCCACAGTCAATACAGTCGTTAACTTAATCAACAACTTTAACAATGCTAAATCATTCATGTAGAAAAACTGATACCAAGTTATTATATATAAGTTTGAAGACAAATTCATAAACATATTAGGCTCTAATTGATAATAATCTACTATCGTGACTTCGGTCAACAGTAATAACTCACAATCGAAGATCAAATCCTCTGGAAAATAGTCAGTATGCTTAGATGTTAACGAGACATGTTAGACAATGTGATTACATAAGAATCAGATATATGACAACAGTGAAGCTGTCATCAGCATAGTATGGTATAAGGAGACAAGATGACAAGTCCTCGGTCAACTTGGAGATTTAAACTCCTCTACACTATTTACCTGTGATTCATTGTAGTTTAGCGAGGCAATTGTCAACCAATGGGTTGCGGGTCCGAACCCCGCCTCACCTATCGAGATCACTATCCCTTACACAGTTGATGTAGCTAATTACCTATTGTACAAATGTCCACAAGGTTGGTGAGTGGCATTTCTATTCAATCAATTGTCAGAGACTTCATCAAATGATGCATGTTTCAGTCTGATTAGCATTAAACGTTTACCAGCCTAAACTTGTTTCCCTTAAATATGTCGATTACCTTGTTCGATAGACTGTTGCTTATACAGAAATAAACGTCAATATAATATAGGCTTGTATGTCAAATGGACGGCGCTCAAAGAAACTGCATCGAATTGACAATCTACCAACTTGAATGAAATTTGACCTCTGATCAATTTCTAGGAAGTTGCCACACTTCACAACACTAATGGATAGAATATGCCTGATATTAAAGCAGGCGAAGGTGTATGGGAGAAGAGGAAATGTAAAACATAAGGTTCACCAAAAATGAGTACATTTGCACCAATTATCAACTATACCACTAAGCATACTCAATCACTGACTTCTATCAAGTTGGAGACTTCTTGAACTGGTATCACCTCTTGGTATGGCCACCCTGAACCATCTTCCAACTTCTCCTAGCACGACACGCCGAGGTTGAAGGTGGGGCTTGGCAGACTCAGTTACATGTCCAAGCCACCTCAGTCGATGAAAGTTCAACAAAAGTTAGTCAATTTTCATCTATTATGAATATGAATAAAGGCAGTAATGCAAGAAAAATCATCTGACTAAGACTTTAGATGTGCACGGAGACAACTGGAGAGTAACCAACTTTATTTTTTCTAACCCTGATTGCTGATCGAATCCTACCGATTATCTTGCAATGTTATCAACAAGGTAAAAGATTCACTATCATGGTGCACTTTTCGAATTGATGTAAAGTTGTTACGACTGTAGCACAGAATGACTTAGGTTCGAAACCCTAAGTGTACAACACTGACTTCCTTCGACATCGCAGATAGATCTTGCTTAAGACAGCTATGACACAAAACACTTAGATCAAGCGGGCCTTCTTTTTGATTGTCAGCAACTATTTAACACTTACAGAGTATATCTACAACGTTCATCGAACAAACACTTCTGGAGATACCCGGATCCTAGATATCCAGATATAAAACTGCATACAGTGGGGTTATAGCTCATTGGCTTAGAAAGTTCCCACTCAACTAGTAAGTATTAATAACCCTCATATATACGAGGTGTGGCTCCTCGTGGTTGGGGTAACTATGACTCTCGGTGCATTATAGATCCGCTCCACGGCGTCAACATCAAGCTCTACGCGGCAAGGCAAAGTGGTGGTAATTCATGGAAACTGGGAACCATGAGTACAAACTAGTTGCCTACGACGATGAGCCTTTTCGTGGCATCGCTGGATATCAACCTAAACGCTGTCGGAGTTGATGTAGCAAAAACCAAGGACGACGAGATACATATGCATAAGATCATTTGTACAGGTCTCCAAAGCAGGGATTTTGCCCAGTGCGCAGTGCAACTGAAGAGTAAAGTGAATCGAGCTTCCTAATTGAGGTAATTATCGTTGATGAAGCAAGCCCAAGATATAGGTGTAGTTTAGCTTGCGAAAGCAATCAATTTTCTGCTTGGAATGCCGGTATCGTTAGTCCTAGTCTTGGCTGTATTTCAGTAGCCCGAAAGGAGTCATTGGTGTGAATCTGTCAGCAGTATGGCTTCACGGGTAAGGCCCCCTAGAAGAATGCCTTTTCGGGAAGATGAACTGCGCTTAGCTCTGCTAGGTTATCGAGATACTAATGAAATATTCCACATACGAGGTGAGTATAGTAAACAAACCGATTACCCGGTGAAAGTGGATACGTTAAAACCCTGAAAGTTGGGAAGGTTAAGGAAAAACACTTATCAGTTTTGAGGGTGCGTTAACAGAATGCTCCGGCAGGAGTGTTCATTTTCATATGGAAGCGTTGCTTTGGTGCATCCTGTTCGATGAGGTGACCAATCCACAAGGTTTGTGTTGCAACATCCATAGATCTGAAGACCAACTTCAAACTAGGAGCTGAGTCAAAAATTTCACAGAAACATTAGACAGGTGTGGCCCATCAGGGTTAATAATACTACTTGGAACGGAGTTCGAGACCACGACCCACTTTGTAGAAAATGTCAAGTGCTTACACCAAATCGTCACAGCCCTAAAATTAAATAATTACAGTAACTCAAGTTAGCACATGTTTATTTTACCAGACTATGATACTATCTAGTTGCCAAGATCCAGGTGGGACTCGATCCCAGAAGCAATTGCTAGAAAGTCAGGTGACAATTCAGCCAAACCAAGTGTTTGACATACATGAAATAAGTGCTCAAATAATAGATAAATGAAGCTGGTTTTGGATTAAAAGAAAAAATAATCGATACTGGCGTAGTGAAAATTTGAAGCGCGGCCGGACTCAAACCAGCGACCACCTAGTTTCCCGCCCAGTGATGCGAAACTTGGTTAGTTAATGTTAAGCACTAGATACTAGACAGCCATAGAGGTTACTAAATGAGGAACAAGTCGTTGATTGCCTAAAGAATTTGACTTTGGAAACATGAAGTAATACAATTGAAAGTCAGTACTTGAGGAGGACACCCAATAACTACTCATCTCTCTCAATTTTTTTTCGCGTTATGCCGACTTTTCTTCCCATATTCGTGCCCTTCACTTTCAACTTCTTTTAGTATTTTTTTAACCTCCAAATTTTGTTTTTATAATGAACTGACATAGCCTGCGCACTGGAGGGTAACCGACTTCATGTTCTCTAGTCCTATGTGCTGCTCGAATAAGATCCATAATTCGGTCGCGATTCGGCTTTCAGTCTAGGCAGCTCACTATCACGACGTAGAGGTGGATGTTAGTTGAAGAGAGGCTAGTGATACTACTACCTGGCTGTCTAAACCTCGGAAGGCGGGTGAGGTTCGAACCCGTGACCCATAATGACACATCTATGGTCTCCAACTATCGATTTCGGTTTTTACTGAAGTTATGTTTTAGTCTGGCCGCCTTTAAAGATTTTCAGGCTTAAACCTGCTTGAGTTAACATGATTCAACTTGCTAAGTGATTAGAAATATGTAATGCATGCATACATCCATCTGCCTATGATATGAAGAAAACAGCGGGTGGACACTTAAATCCTTCTCATATTCTCCACCTTTAACAGGCATATCTCATATCCAAATGGCATAACAGAGCGAACTATAGATGAATACATTCGACGCTTCATAGGTAATCGGATATCATGCCAACGCAATGAATGGCGGCATAAGTCGACAAAAGCCAAGCGGACCAACCATGCTCAACTACTTCATCTCCTTTAAGTAGTATAAAATCTACCCCAATTTACTACTCAATGTGTCTCAACATTTTCATCTGTCTACTATAGGTCGACTAAGAAGTCTTCTAAATCATTGTCAATCCCTGTACAGCTAGTTGAATGAACAAAGTGAAACTTCCATGTGTACATCTATAATAAACGTAAATAAGAATGAATAAAGCAAAATGAATAATACATGGTCTTTTCATTATCACTTAGAATAATTAACTACAGACAGATACACGAAATCAACGTAGAACCTTAGAGACAATTCAGCTAATAGTCACAGATGTTATCAATTGATGCAACATCATAGTCTAACCATCCTAAACCCATTTATCTTCTAACATACCTTAGCATAATACTTTAAGGTAGGTTAATAACTTCATAAATCAATTTGATAGTAACAATCAAGCAAGTAGAAATATGTGTAAACACATACATAAACAATTAAACGAATATTAATTGAAAACAACAACTTTATATCAATATAGTGTAATTAAGAGTATAGAAAATAGTAACAAAAGAAAAAAGGGTGAAATACACATTAGTCAGTAAGAAAGAAGAAGAAGAACAGCAGGAAAAAAGTCAGTACACATCATCATCATCATCATGATAATCCTCGATTACAACTCTAAGTGTTTATATCCAATTGAAAATGTAGATAGATAACTGAATTATATTTTAGAATAAAAGGATATACCATAGAAATCTGGAAGGATACAAGGAGTTTTAGTTGAATATACTTTACAGTCAAATATATGAAATAAATGCAATATAAACGTCTACACACACATACACACACACTGTTGTTCATCAGTGAAGATATCAACACTCACAGTTACAGTATTATTCATCCTCAATAAGGATTAAATCATCATCTTCATCATCGTCAATAAGTGGTACAATGACTGGTGGTGATGGTGCTGTCGGTGCTCCTGCTCCTGCTCCAATTCCCACTGCTGATGATGACGATGATGATGAAGCATAGTGTTGGTCAATAATTGTATCAAGTTTCGGTTTCTTCAACTTTATCTCAATGAATTCATCATCAGATATTGTATCATAAGATTTACGTTTTATACTGCCTTCTATAATTTTACTAGAGAATTTCTTTGTAGATTCATCAATGATAATTTCTTCCTCGATTCGTTTTAATTCTGTATTATCATTGTTATGCGTAGATAAAATTGAATGAAGTTTTGCTTAAAACATATAACAAAAAGATAATATAACGTTTATCTTTAGGATAGTATTCACTATAGATTAAAAGTCATTGAAAACAGGAGAGCATTGGATAACTGTTTCGTCCCAGCTTAGGGTTCCTCAGGAATACGAACTCATAACTTTCAGATTTCACGATAAACATCTATTCAACTATTGGGTCAAAATTCAGTGGTTTACAATTTCCTACATCCTACCTTGAAAATAAAATCTCCCGCTAACCTTAATATAAATTATTATTATTATTATAAACAAGTGATTTGGGGTTATATTAGAGTGAATAACGATTATGAAGTTAGATGTCTTATTATGCAATTATCTTCACTAATAATTATCCTGTGCGCTGCTTTTTGTTCAGTAAAATACGATTATTATGGGTAGGGGAATATGAGAAGATTTCTGGTATTTATTAACCGTTGCCTTCATAGCATACTCCATGTTTCCTGGTGTCATTATGCAAGTAAAAGCAGAAGTCAGGTGTAGAATTGCACAATGTTGATTGAAGTAGTTTTCAGGCTGGAAAAAGTTTGAGGCTCTTCGACTAGACTAAAACATGACATCAATGAATGAAGTCAATTGATTTTCAAGTAGTTGAATTCATTATTTACCAGTAATACATCAGCTGATAAAATACTAGGCATACACATATTTAGTTTGATGCATTAATCAGTACCCAAACTGACTGACTAACAGACAGAATCAACCGAGAACATCTCATGTAAAAGTACATCAAGCTCAAGTTGCCACACTTCACAGAAGTATACAAAGAACAGCCGGCAGAAAAGGAGTGATATCAAAGTAGATAAAGTAGTGTGAGAGAATAAACAAGCAGTTTACAACTCCTCACACAACTTAATCCAACAGTCAGAGACTCTATAGACTGGTGTACGATTTTCATCTAGCCAGCCTGAACTATTTTCCATCCCAGAGAAGCTTTATTACACATTAACTCTAGGCGATACGGTTCAGAATCGATGTAAATCATTGTACTGAATTCAGTATTTTCACATTCCTACTCTTCATTATCTTATCACAACGCTGTATCCTTGTTTTGATTGCTTTATTCTCCAATTCTTTATCTTTCGTTCTAGTGATGATAGCACGGTATGGTAACTTGGACAGACTATGCAATAATGACTTGGTCGTATCCTGATCTTCTCTGTTTGCCTGCCTGTCTGTCTGTCTGTGCGTTATCAGACATAAAAGTGAGGACAAGATACTACTCAAGGAGAAGATAGTTATTGTGATAAACAAATAATAATGCTTAGTACTTTAGAAAAATGTCAAGAAGTGAATGAATTTTTGCCAGTGCAACCAATTTTCAGCCATATGACTAAATGTCCTCAACTACTGATTCTTTTTATCTCATAGGGATCCCAGTCAGGCAGTCTACATCCCCCCCCACACACACAAACACACTCAAAACGACTTAAATCAACAGATAAGTCTACCCGCAGTTGTGGTGAGGTCAATCAATGGTTCATGACTGTTTCCGATCACGTCAACACACTATAATGAAGGGACTAGGTTTCCCAAAAGACGAATACCTTAGCAACAGAGATATGAATGTCTAGGCACGAGATTATTGGAAGAAGGTGTGATGAACGACCCATGCTCATTCAACTGAGAGGAACCATGCCCAGTTACCGACCAGATCTCAATTTCACCTCAATCATTAAAAGTTTCGTTGCTTAATTGGTAGAGCAGCGGAGCAGTGGTACATAATCCGCTTCTTTTTGAGTCCTACCACGGGTCAAGTCTGATAAACCATACACACCTTTCTCAGATAATCAAACTGATAATATCCATTTATCCCCCCCCCTCCCTCTAGTGAATAAATCAATGTACTCTTACCTTTATGCATGTTATTCCCATTTATATTAGTTTCATCATGTATAGATGACAGTTGATCAGCATTACCTCCTACATCTTTCATATTCATTACAATTGAATCTATATTCCCGATAATACGCCACTGTTCCAATTGTTCATCATTATCAAAATGATTTCTTAGTTGATTACCATTTTCTTGTGATGATGAATTTATAGGCAGTGCATTCGCTAATTCTGTACTAATACACGATATAATAAGGCGTAGATTAAAATCTTGACGAAAATCATCACATTGTAGACAACTGCCTTGACTAACTTTAAAATCAGCCAATGTTTTGTTTAATGTATCTACATTAAACAATAGAACAAAAGAAAACAATTGAAAAATAAACAAAAAATATTACAGAATGTTAAGAGACGGTTATTTATTATTTAAACAACCTTTTTGTAGTTGATACTGGGTGATGCCTGAGATAAGAATTTCAACCCCGACCGGATTCGAACCGAAGACCATCGAATCATTGGCCCGATAATCTGCCAAGAGAGAGCTACTAGGCTTGACTGTTGACCAGATTCTCATTTCACTAGTCAGCAGTCGGGCGTCATAGTTCAGTTGGTAGAGGACACTAAGCCAGAAACCCAGTGGTGGCTGGTTGGAATCTCACCATGGTCTAAATTTTCAATTCATCTTCAATCAACACCTAGTATCAATCATACAAGCCTGTCAAATCAAAGCTGCTATCACAGAGTCAAAATAATAATCAATAATGGGGTTAGTATCTGTTGGTGTATTACGACTCAGGTTTGTGAAACCTGGCATCTCTGAGCAGAGACTATGAGACGAATCTATGTGTTCAATTATCGTTGTCTCCGTACAACTGCTTATTTCCGGTGACAATATCATGCAAATAATTATGAGTTACGACAGAATGTGTTTACGCATGACCGAGATCGTCATGTGGATACAATGACTTCAGTGGCTTGGATATGTGTTACGCATGTTGTCCCAATCGCTTCTACCATGCTGTTCATTGTAGAAGCAGAGGGGTAGTCAGTGTAGCACCATGAGATGAAGGATAGTTATATCGGGTTAGCATCTGTTGGTGTATTACGACTCTCTACTGCTGAAAAGTAATGTCCTCACATTGTTGTTATATTATTTTGAGTGGTGCATTTCTAGGTAACCTTGCTCTACCATGTCTGTTCTAATAATCCTGATAATAACTTCCTCTTACAAAGATGACGAATAAATTCTGATGTAACATCACTTTCTTCAAACAAGATGTCTGCTCAATAAAGTACAGTTAATGTTTCGCATTTAGCCATACAAGCATAACACTTTTATACGACTGTTTCTCATCCTAACCCTTGAAAAAGACAAGGAAACAGTCATGAGTAACAATGACGTTCAATAGCAAATAAAATGATATTATACTGTCTGATGATTGAAGGTGAGATAAAAATTTGAAAAGCGGCCAGATTCCAACTAGTCACCATCGGGTTTTCGACTCGATGCTATATCAACTGAGCTACAAGGCACAACTGGTGACCACATTTCTTTTTCACTTTACCAATCACGAAAAATTCGACCCGACAACCATGTGGATTCGTGGCACGTGACCATCAACTGATCGTATTCACACTGGTTGTTGCCTAGTTAGGACTTATCATCCAAATCGAAATCTAACTGAATTAGGGAGAGGGGTTGCATCATACAGATTATCATTTTGACTGAGTTAGATAGGTGTGGTTTGCCAGACTGTTATTGACATAGGGTGATGATTGAAGGTGAAATGAAAATTTGGAAACCCAGTGGTCGCTGGTTTGAGTCCGGCAGCGGTCGAAATTTTCTCTTCACCTTCAATCATCATCCAGTATCAATAATACAAGTCTGCTAAATCACTGCTACCTCACTCGGATAGCCGAAACGATAACCTTGTAGTTGAATGTTCAATATTCAACAAAATATTAGCCATTGGTTACGTAGAAATGGAAGTCTATAAGCACATTCGTTCAGTGCTGTCTAAACTTTGGTAGGTGAGATGGAGTTTGAACCTATGACCGTTTTTTGATTGAAAGTTAACTAACTCCCTAGAACAATGAGTCACAGGTTCACTGGTAACTTTGAGAAATCTTTCATTCGTAAACATGATAGCATAATATGAATAATCTATAAAGACTATTAGTAAAATTAACAAACAATACTGAAATACAAAAAGCAAAGAGATACTGTGTACACTTCAAGTTATAGTATATAGGGTTAAGAAGAGAAATCAATAGATAGTTGACTAATTGTTAGGTATTTACCTTCATCAGTTTCACCTTCTTCACTTGATATCAAAATAATTCCACGATCAGATAATTCTACATCAGGAGCAAGCATACCTAAATATCGTATTAAAATACGATCACGTAGAACACGTAGTGTAAGAGTTTCTGGTGAACAAATTAAGCATAATTGAGAATTTTTCACTTTATCACTACATACTAAACAAGATGGATTAGGTGGTGTAGGTTCAATTGGTACAACAAATCGACGATTCCCTCGACGACCAGTTGGTTGACGATGAATATAGACAGCACGAACACGCTAAAAGAGAATGACTGATTAAAGTACATAACATATGAAGAAATCAAGTAAGATAGAGTTTATTAAATTGGAATATGATTGAATATAACATCGACACTTTTCAGCTTGTTAAGTATAAACGTGAATATAGAGCAAGTTCGATGGATCATAGTAAGATAAACGTCTAGTGTTCTTGGGGTGAAACAATTTCCCCACCACAAGACATATTATTATTATTATTATTATTATTATTATTATTATTATTATTATTATTATTATTATTATTATTATTAGTCCCTTGGGTTCCCAATGGAACATAGGGGTTCAGTAGCACGTCTCCAGTACACTCTCTTCTCTGAAATCTTTTGAACCTACCTCCACGACTTCCCACAAGCTCTCATTTATTCCTCGTACGACCTCCTCCATGTCACCCTCGGACGTCCAACTAGTCCCTTCCCATCGGCGTTCCACTTGAGGGCCTGGCACGTGATGTCCCCAGTCGGCTTTCCACAAGACATATAACTTTTCCTAATAGAAGGTAAACTAAGCCACAAAATTTTCAATCGACACAAGTTGACTGATACAGAAAACTAACGTAGAACCTCACTTTACAGCAGTGTACAATGAATAAGTGGATGCCATTTTGCCAATGGCAATCAATTTCCAGCCATGTCACTACTACTAGAAGTCCTCATCAACCACTGATTCCTACCTTTTTAGGGATCCTAGTCACGCAGTAGTCTACTCGCCCTTCCGTACACGAGTCAGATCAATAATCAGGGACTTCATGTGAAGAATAATCTTCAATTTCTTCACTTCTTCAGATGTTCAGTTCATGACGAAATCACCCTGTTATACCGATTTCAATAACACGCAAAATACACGTTTTGCAACCAAAGACAAACTAATATGATCCCTGCGATATTACTATTACGTCTAATCATTGTCGGATATTCATGATGGTATATTCATCTCGGTGACTAGCAGAGGAATCCAAGACGCTAATTTCATCTTGTTCGAGACTTGTCGCCCACAGGCAGAGCAATTCAGCCCTGTACACCAACGGGAAATTACAATGACTGATCCCGTTGCATAAGGTGGCATTTCAAGCGAAGGGTGGTGGGTTCGACCTCCGGTGAGAACAACACTTCGCAATGGGGTGCAGGTACATCCAAATGATGAATCTCAAACGGGAGGAAACACATCCTGGATTCTTCTGCTGGTCATGGCTCGGTTTAGCTAGAGCTTCACTTCACACACACATCTCAAGCATATCAATAATTAACGAATCTCCTTTAGTTGAGACTCTATGCTTACATTTGTGCGCTGCTTATTTGATGATTTTATGATTATGCTAAGAAGGGTAATAACTTTAAAATCCTTGAAGGCTTCTCCTGTCCTACACGAGTTTAGATTTCATTGCTGAAGAGTAGCACGAAGTGAACTGCTGACCGGTACACTTGACGCTTAACAGACATACGAAAATTACTCCACTCATGTGACCTGAGCGCTTACTGCTTAGTGAAACCTTCTGCTGTGAGGCTAAACAAGTTTGCCTCAAAAGCTTAGAGCATAAATCTGTACCAGCTGACTGGCTGGCCACCGAAGGGTAACCAACTTCATGTTTTCTAGTCCTAAGTGCTGGTCGAATTCTACCAATAACTTGCAATGTGGTCATTAGGATAAGCTAATCAGCATCGCGATGCATTTTTAATCGATGTTACTTTGATAAAGGTTGGAACATAAGATATGAAGAAGTTGTAGATACGCCTTGCTGACGAGTACCAAAATGTAGACGAGGGTTTACTGACGATTACCTTCAATTAATTAACATCTACTGAAGTGATTATCAAACCTTCTGACCAGTATGCATAGTCAACAGTGATTTACACTATAAGTGATAGTGTGTATGGTAAAGAGTTGTAGTTCATTAGACTACGTAGTTCACATTCATTCAGGGAAGATCACAGATTCCAGCCGACCTCCCAGCTACCAATGTTTGATCAGCGAGATAGTATCATTAGACCACGCAAAACAGATATGCCTTCGTGCTTGTTGCAGATGATTCCTAAGAGAGTAATAGTCACTCCTTTAGTAACTCAGAAACAAAGTGAGCAAATTTCAACAAACTTTAGAATAAATTAGACAGAAGAAAGAGACGTGAAGCTTCATGAGTAGTAAAAAAAATAACCATTAAAGAGAATTACCTCAAAGTGTTTGGATAGTATATGCCTTGCTTGGAGTACCATAAGGCCAGCGACAATTGCATTTGTAGATGCTACTGCAGGAATTATATTACCTGCAAGAGATTTGATAGTGAATCTAGTCAACTGATCAGCACCAGGTAAGTGGAATAATTGTGATCGGATAACTGCAGCAGATGCAACAAAATCCATAGCTTCTGGATCATCCTATAATAGCAGAAGAAGGAATGAATCATATGAGTAGATAATGTATAATACGAGGCATGGGAGAGATATCCTAATTTCCAACCAACATTGTGTAAACTAATAATTAGCTGAATTTGGATTCCGACCCACGGAGCCTGAAGGTTGCGGGTCCGATCCCTAGTAGGGTCATAGGTGCGCACTGCTGAAGAGTCCCATAATAGGACGAAACAGCTGTCCAGTTTTTCCAGGTTTCCTAATGTTCCTTCAATTGATGTCAGTCCATGACGAATACCAACTAATAATTAATGTTACCATTTAACTATCTGAGATAACCATAGTCTGGCAAACAGGATGATGATTGAAGGTGAGATGAAAACTGTGGGTAGGTACATGAGCATGAAAATCAGCTATCAAACCGAGAGGTTTATCTACCGTCGACAGTGAGACCTGTGACGATATCTGGAGGATGACATTTGTACACGTCATGTGAGTTGGCAGCAAAAACCGTTCTTATGGACCGCAGCATTACGATACCGGCATCGATGTTGTTCAGGGGGAAAAGATTTGACGAAATGACAGGCACCACAATACCACCAAGGCAATAGGAGTATCTTCTTCGAGGCGCGTTGGATACCGCATGAGTTACTGGGTCGATGAGCAGGCGAGATAAGGCCAAGAGGAGTGTGGTCAGAGGGTGATGCAGAGGAATGAGATGTCTGGTGAACTGTATTTACTTTAGAACAACTCTGGCATCCGGATTGGGTTAAACTCACATCACACTGCAGGTTACCCAGTCGCTGGTATTCTGCAGACATGTCATTCAGTGTCTGGACTGTGGCGTCGAAAATACAATCCACATGGGTACTGAAGCGAAATCATGTTGTAGTATTGGTCTAGTTTAGGTGGACCAAGCTTTCGAAGTAGGAGACAAACCTTCCATAAATCATTTTGGTCAGTTAAATCTACTTTGAAGTAGTCTTCATAACGCCTGAACCAACTGTGGAAAGTTTTATTAGCACCAGGATCGTAATGCAATTCAGTGATACTATTGGAGATACCATCCACTGAAGGAGCTGTTAAAACTGACACAGTAGGCAAGAAATCAGTACCATAAATTTGGGATCACGTAAGTATCTCGATAATGCATATTTATTGTTCGAGGAAACTGTCCAACTTCGAAGAATCCATTTCCCAATATCCGATTTCTATCACCTCTCTCATGATTTAGAAACTGCTATGCCCTGTGGCCTACTACCACCCATGATTATCCTGATTGTGGTTGACTGGATCATGCAGCAAACTGTGAGGAGCGAGAAGAGAGGTATACACTAGACGGATCAGAAGAGCCTAGAGGATTTGGATTCCGCCAACGGTGATTTATGTCTAATGTCTCGTCGCACAAACTCGAAGATCTATAGGCAAAACCAACAAGCTGACAGAAGAGAAGAGGCAGCGAAAACGGAACTTCAAGTGAATGTAGAAAAGGCAGAGGTGATGATACCCAAACAACAACAAGCGTTAATCACCATGAACGGCAGAAATCTAAAGAAAGTAGTCTCTTTCACCTACCACCAAGGCAAGGAGGCATCGTTTCAACTACAGGCGGCACAGATGAGGACGTCAAAACCAGGATCGGAAAGACAGCAAAACAGGGCTTCATTAACTTGAAACCACAGTAGAGATCTACTTCACTCAGCATAAAGCGTGAACAACAACCGGATTTTCAACACCAATGCCAGTCAACTCAGTGCTGTTATATGGTTCAGAAACTTCGCGAGTCAAGAAAAGTATTTCCAACAACCTATAGACATTCATCAAAAGCTGCCACCTACGCTGCCCAGATACAGACACTGAAGATCACAATGGCCAGAATAATAAGAATAAGCAACAAGGAACTCTGGCTGGCTGGCAACGAACCAACCAAGAACCTATCACCCAACAAATATGCAGTGTAAGAAAGTGGAGATGGATTGGGTAAATAGTGAGAAGGCCGATTCGGAACATCACACGAGGTCAGGCCGTCGACTGAAATTCAAATGGGAAACGACGAGTTGGGCGTCACAGTTAAGGGTGACCAGTAGGAGATCATGTGAGGAAGAAATGAAAGCTTGTGGGCAGTCTTGGAGACAGGTTTAAAGGATTGCAGAGAAGGGAGTGTAATGGCGACGTGCTACTGAAGCTGTATGTTCCAGTAGGAACCCAAGAGAATAATAACAATAATACAATGCCCTGTGGCCACTAACGATGCATCGATATCGAATATCAGCCACCAAGATTTTGTCAATTCCTAGTTGATTCCCAACCCAACTAATCCATGGAGAAGACACGATGGATATATAGAAATGTGTATGAAGACCGAAGGATCAAAGACCTAAAAGCAAAGGAAAATATTCCTTTCGAAATCTAATATAAGATAGCACGACAGAAACTAGAATTCAAGACTATCTGATGACTTTTCGTGATTTCAACATTCAATTCCGTAGATTGATGCCAACACTTCGAATCTTATCACACTTAGTTTGATCTCAACAACCAACAAGTATCAAAACCCGTCAAACACAGAACACATGGCTCATAGCCTAGTGCAATGTTCCAAATAAATAATAAAGTAGTCGATATTTGGTGAAATAGTTGTATAGAATTTAGACTTTTCTCGTCTTCTATGCATCGTCTACTCTTTTTTTTCTCGTGAAAACATACCAACATCACTGTGATCGATTTTTATCTATGTCAGTAAAAGACTACTTGGTTCCTTTCGTCTCGAGGACCCTAACCAAATAGTCTGCATGTCTTTACATGGCTAAGACCAACAATCAGGGAATTCATAAACGAGTACCATGTTTTGATTTGACCACCCTGAACCATCTTCCAATCTAATCTAGTTTCCACCCACCCACCCCACTCCCAGCATGGCACCTCGAGGTAGGTGGTGACTCAGTATGTGCAACACCCTAATCCTTACAAACTATCAATCCAATTAACAAATTTGTTAGTCGGATGGAGACAGTCAGTAAAAAGCTGTGCTCCGTCTAGGGTTTCGCGCATATCGGCACTCGTCAGCAAGATATTTCTGCAACGTCAGGCCTAAGGTTTGAACCCGCGTCATTCAGTGCTATTCGGGCCACCATAGACCTCCTGAGGGTCTGGATTACATGCACTGACTAGTTACGTTCCAGTTACAATTAGTACAACTGTGAGGTACGGACAACGGATGTTCTGCATGAGAGGTAAAATCCCTCCGTCCAACCACTGTCTTGAGCTCTACTCTAAGTTAGATTGTGTTGGAGAAACAGCTTCTCGTCCACTGTACAAGGAAGTTTATATTATTCTTACAAGCACGTAGTCGATCTGGGGAAGTTAGAAAACCTAGATTTCAAACTATATCGGTGGACATGAGCCCCAGAACAATGTACGTGCTTAGTCTAATTATCACCACGCATAGGAATGCAGTACCTGACATTCTTTCACTTTCTCGCGAGTGTTTAGGGATTGTTTGTGCCTGAGAAAACAAGCCGCTTCAGTTTAACAATTTGGGTAACAATATCAACCCTCCTGTGATCGCAGATAAACTGGTCTTTTGTATGGTTTTACCAATCAAAGTGAAGAATGTGTGATAATATATTGATCTTGATGACTAACAGATGAATCCAGGACGTGCATTTCGTCCTATTTGGGACTCGTCAGCTGGATTTATCTGCACCTCCCCAGGGTGAAGTGATGTTGTTCCCGCCGAAGCTCAAACCCAGCACTCTTCGCTTGAAACGCTACTGGGGTACGATACCCACCACTTGTACAACGGGTATCAGTTATCGTAATGATACTAGTAATTTTTCGTTGCTATACATTGCCGAATTGTTCAACCCCAAGCTGATGAATCCCAAAACGGGCGTTCTAGATTCCTCTGCTAATCACCGAGATGAACATTACACCATGAATAACCGATAGTATCGAGGCATCCGCATAGGAAACCGTCTGCCAACAACAGAGGTTGAACAATTTGGCCCTACATAGCAACGGGGAATTACAAGTTTCATTACAACCACTAAGCAAGTAGGTAATCAGAGATATTTGAAAGCGAAAATCCATACTCAACCTGCCTACATATGATTATTAGCATAATTTCACACACATGTGAACAATGTGATGGATGTAAATGATCTCAAGGTAACTATTATAGTAGCCTACCTTGAGTAACACAATTCCATTTGAAGTGAGAATACATTTTAACTGATATACAACAGAGTACACTGTTCCAGGCTACAGGATGTTATGATTCACCACAGGTAACATCATGATACGAACAACAACCCTTGGTGAGGGCAGATTTGTAGCAGCGAACACCAGAAGCTTGTCTACCTGAATACTAAACCAGCCAATAGCACAGTAAGAAGAAAGACAAGAAGGGAACAACTTGATTGAAAGTTTCAGGAGTCTAATTCGGAATTCTACAGATATATCTAACACTTTTCGACCTTTCTGGATCGAAGAATATTTGCGAAATAATCTTATTTCCCAATACAGGAAATGGAATGGAGTCCTGTTCAGTTAAATAGATTGATTAGCAACTCTTGTGTGGAATTGTAGCTCAGTGGTTTAGATAGTTGACTTTTAACAGCGGGTAGCAAGTTCGAACCCATTGCATCTACCGAGGCATGGGTAGCCACGCATGTAGTATCATCAGCCCTTATATAATAAGTGTATGGTTCATTGATGAAATATGCCTCGTACTGCTTTGGCTACTTGTATTTTCCCGTTGCTGTATACAGGGTCGAGCTGCTCGGTCTCTGTTGGCAGATAAGCTCCTATGCGAATGCTTAGGATGGTTCTCGTGACCGCAGCAGCCTAGTGGATAACGCTTTAGCGTTTAAAGAGATTTAAAGTGGGAAAAACATCAATCACTGGGGGGGGCCAATATATCCAGCTGACGATTCCCAAACAGGACGAAACCCGCGTCCTAGATTCCATTGCTGGTCACCAACCAAGTGTGTTGTCAGCAAATGAATGAAAATGATATTTAAGGTAAAACTCGAAAAACAGTAAAATAATACTATTAAATATGATTGATTACCTTATCCCATACTAAGAATTTGTCTCCATCAGCATTTTCCACTTGCTTTTGTAATTTTTCAACAGAATTTAAGAATATATGAAGCCATCCAGACATAGGCAGTTTACGTTGATCGCGTAATTCACCGAAACTTGACGAATCCAATGCATCACGTGACAACACTGAAGAAGGTAGTTTTGTGGGGAAAGGCGAGGAGGGGAGGGGAATCAGGGAAGAGAAAATATGAATCTCAGATAACCAAACATTCATGAATGAAGAGATTACTGATTGTAAGTAGTCAGATTCCTTTGAGCCAATCATTATCATCAAGACAATAAGACATAATTTAGCTGGAAAATGGAATCTATTCATGAAGCAATACATTACGAATAATGTCTGGTAACACACGTGCACATACCTGTCATATGTGAAGACATCAGAAAGGAAAAATGGGTCAAATTACAAACAGAAAGAGAAGGATGATGATGAAGCTGAGTACCCATACAAGCCTTGACGGCATTTGAAAGAACGAGCCATGATGCAACAGCATTTCCATTTTGATTGTCAGAGATAGCCGTGGTTTGGTAGACTTGTATTATTATTGTTACTGGATGATGAAATGAAGATTTGAACTGTGGTGGGATTCAAACTAGCGACTACCAGGTTTCCAACCTTATGCTACGAGGTCCGATAGCAGACCAGAGTTTTATTACACTTCAATCACTAATGGCATTACATGGTAGTCAGGCAAAACACTTGGTGATTGATGAAGTGAAGTAAAAATCTGGTCAGTAGTCGTGCCTCCCACGGATTGGGAGATCCATGCACATTACAACCACATTTATGGACAATGAACTGCCACAAAGAAAGTTCTTGACGGTATCGATCAATAACTACCTAGCCAGTCTGCAGTTGGACACTGCGTCTCAGATATGACCATCATTTCTGAAAAGCTCTGACGTGATATCGGTTCACCGCCTCTACAGACAGCAGCAAAGACAGTACTGAGTGCATGTAGAGGCCAACCTTCATCGTCCGGTAAGCTCGTATGGAATGTCTTCTCTAACAGTCATTTATTAAATGACTGTTAGTAGGACGTGCTGTTGTTAAATCCAACCTAAATGTACTGGGTTTGAATTGGTTTAACTATCTGGGGTTATCAGAGATTCTATTCAATACCCTCTGTAGGTGCGTGCAAACACTGCCCCAATTTTCCAAGGTCATTGGAAAATCTGCATATGCTTATCAACCTAATCTTGGCCAGGTCACAGAATCGCTCCTTGTATTATGTCTTCAGTCTGGTTCTAGCTCAATTTCCCACGAAAAGATACGGGTGCCTTGTTTCTACTCCTCAACAGTCACCAGCAGAAGCACTGCGCACAACGCAACACGTCAGCATGCCTAGAACTTCTACCTACACCTTGTGAAACAGAAAGTAATGCCAGAGCTCTATCGGTAGGTTTCACCGCTTTTGACCAGGGCATGGCAACTGGGTTGGTGGGTCTGTTGTCCAACAACTTGGAAACGTAACGCATGATGTTCGAGTGGGACGCGAAATCTAAACACTTCACCACAACCAACTAACTGCAGCGACGAGAAACAACAGGAAAAAGAACCAATTAGATTTACTGTTGGATACGTTTAGACAACCAGCAGCGTTAACAGACAGTCCACTTACACCAAAACCTCCTGAGTATGTCAATCTACTCCCACGACAACGGAATGACAGTCGCCGCCAGCTGATAGTGTCACTATAGATCAACCCAAACAGAATATGTTGCTGAATTCTTTAGAAAGGGGAGGTGTAAGGGATGCCTATAGCGATTCACAACGGAAAGCTCAGTAACGCCTTTGAAGTGAAGACAAGAGTAAGACAAGGCTGCCTGCTATCGCCCCCATGACCTTCCCGATTGTGGTGGACTGGATCATGCAGCAAACTGTGAGGAGCGAGAAGAGAGGTATACACTAGACGGATCAGAAGAGCCTAGAGGATTTGGATTCCGCCAACGGTGATTTATGTCTAATGTCTCGTCGCACAAACTCGAAGATCTATAGGCAAAACCAACAAGCTGACAGAAGAGAAGAGGCAGCGAAAACGGAACTTCAAGTGAATGTAGAAAAGACAGAGGTGATGAAGATACCCAAACAACAACAACAACAACAAGCATTAATCACCATGAACGGCAGAAATCTAAAGAAAGTAGTCTCTTTCACCTACCACCAAGGCAAGGAGGCATCGTTTCAACTACAGGCGGCACAGATGAGGACGTCAAAACCAGGATCGGAAAGACAGCAAAACAGGGCTTCATTAACTTGAAACCACAGTAGAGATCTACTTCACTCAGCATAAAGCGTGAACAACATCCGGATTTTCAACACCAATGCCAGTCAACTCAGTGCTGTTATATGGTTCAGAAACTTCGCGAGTCAAGAAAAGTATTTCCAACAACCTATAGACATTCATCAAAAGCTGCCACCTACGCTGCCCAGATACAGACACTGAAGATCACAATGGCCAGAATAATAAGAATAAGCAACAAGGAACTCTGGCTGGCTGGCAACGAACCAACCAAGAACCTATCACCCAACAAATATGCAGTGTAAGAAAGTGGAGATGGATTGGGTAAACAGTGAGAAGGCCGATTCGGAACATCACACGAGGTCAGGCCGTCGACTGGAATTCAAATGGGAAACGACGAGTTGGGCGTCACAGTTAAGGGTGACCAGGAGGAGATCATGTGAGGAAGAAATGAAAGCTTGTGGCAGTCTTGGAGACAGGTTCAAAAGATTGCAGAGAAGGGAGTGTAATGGCGACGTGCTACTGAAGCTGTATGTTCCACTAGGAACCCAAGAGAATAATAATAATAAAGGGATGTCTATATCCCTTATATTCCATGCTTCTAGTTTGCATATATTTCAATTGTTTTACTTCTCTTTGCCAATCACTTGGGTTGAATCATCTCAACTGTCTACTGACTATCAAATAGTTAAGTATTTTCGTTCGTTCTCACAACTCCACATCATAACAACAGGATCCCTAAAGATGAAGCTTCCCATAAGCATAACTCGTTAGGTCATTGTGTTATACAAACACGCTTAACCACCATATCAAGGTAGCACCTATCAATCGATTGTATTGCAGTTAATTTGTAGTAAACATAACTGTATGATATATAATCAAAAATCATATTACTATTTCCTTTAATACTGGTCCAAACTTAATAAATGATAATATAAAGAAAATAAATACTGATGAACAGTAGATTAATTACTTGAATTTTGATCCATTGCATCCTTCATTACAGATTTATCTAATGGACTTGGTTCACGACGATCTTTACGATCAATCCATAAATCACGCATACTAATCAACGTTACAATATCATGATGAAATAATCTCCAAGCTAATGATGATGTAGCACCAATACTTGTAATCTCATTATTCGGTGTATTGGATTGACATATTTTCCCATTAGACCAAAGTAAACGAAACCATTCACGTAGAGTGAGTTGATTAGACTTAATTGAATTTGAAGTGTTTAAACTATCCAAGTTATTTATAGTAGTATTGATTGTATTGGTAAGATTGTTTATGGTCAATGCCTCCTCCTCATTAATTTGATTATGATTATCATGATTGTGTAAATGTGGATCTGAGAAGTCCGGAGAAACATCTTCATCATCTACATCTGGTTGACCAAATAACTGACTAGAATAATCATTTGTTTTTTAAAGAAAAATACAATAAAGAATACAGCACTATGTAATTTTATATTAGATAAGATCATCTATTACAGAGAACAATGAGTGATATACCATGAACTGTAGATATCTAAATCAAGTTGGGAACAACATCACTCATTGAGGTCCAAGTTCATTCAGTTGATGAGCCTCGAATAGGACAAAGCACTCATCTTGGATTCCTCTGTTAGACGCCAAGATTAGTATAACATCATGAATATCCGACAGTATCGAGGCATCTTCTTCTGACTGCATTCTCTTATCATCTTGCGCCTCACTGCCTTTTTACTTGATAAACTGATATAAGGTGTGGCAACTCGGACCGTTACTCAGTAATGCCTGGTCCTAGGTTGATCTGGATGGATGATGGACTGGATTTCTAGGGGTTGAATGGAAGGTGTTCGGTGTTCCTTCTTTTCTAATTTTGATTTCATGGGAAGTTTGTCCTATATATATTGTATCGCAGTATGATCACATGCACAAACGTGGGATGAAATTAGGACAGTGTTCAACAAATTTAATATCAGTACATCAAGTAAAAAGGCAGTGAGGCGCAAGATGAAGATAAGAGAATGCAGTCAGAAGAAATATAAAGTACTCTAAGAGAGAAAGGATGAATGACAAAATGGTGACATTCGGCAAAGCGTTATGATGGGGATAATGTGTATATACATCTGCGCCATTGACATCGGTTCTGAGCCATATCACCTAGAGTCTCCAACCACTGGTTCCTCTATAGAAATCCAGTGGAACTAAATAAACTTGAACACACATCAGTCATAGCTCTACATACTGTAATTTCAGGTCACAATATGGAAATGATTCAGAAAGGTGGCTTTACAAATTATAAAGAAGGTCTCATTCATATAAAGTATAGTCAAGATTGTTTAAATGGGAAGGAATGAAAGAGTAAAATGTGGTTTGACCTAACCTCAATCCATTCCCACATGCTGACATACATGCGACAAGCACTCTCAGGAGCACATGTGTACATACAAATCTCAATCTATAGTTCACTCATAATGTGCACTACCTACATATGGATATCATCTTTATTCCACAATTCTGACAAGGCAGAATTATTCATGCAGAAGAAGACTTATCAAGTTATCATGTGATAAGCTTGAGGGATATTGTAAATTCCGGTTGACTGTAACTTTGATGGAAGGTATTCGCAGGATGAAGTATAGTAAAATATGAGTTGAAACAAATTTACTTTGTTTTACATTCATTCATTCATTAGGAAATACAAATATCAGGGTAATGATTAGCGTGAACTACTATTTCAATGTGATAATTTAAACCAAATTTTCAATGTACAAGTTTAAAAACATGAACTATCGTATGTCATACAATTGTTTGTTCTAGCTGATGATTGAAGATGAAATGGAAATCTAAGCGACGGCAAGACTTCAATTAGCCACATCTGAGCTACCGGCTGCGTGTCATACCAACTAAGAAACGTTACCCAGCTGCTGGTCACATCTTAATTTCACTTCAATCACCAATTACATATACACAATTATTTCCTTAAAAATCCGTTTGTCTATTAAGGGTCGCGTGTACTGCACAACAGTTCGCTCTGTTCTACTTTGTGGCTGTGAAACATGACCATTGAAAGTGGAAAATATAAGAAGGCTTCAAGTGTTTGACCACCGTTGCCTTTGTAGCATAGACCGTATTCCGTGGTGTCACCACGTGAGTAATGCAGAAGTTAGGTGTAGAGTTTTGGGGAGAAGAGGTAAATCAGTTGACGAGGTTATGAACCTTCATTGACTGAGATGGTTGGGACACGTACTACGTATGCCTAGTCACCGATTGCCTCGTCACACAATGTTGGCCGAAGTAGGTCCAAGCTGGAAAAAGGCCCGAAGTGGCCAGACTAAAACATGGCATCAATGTATGAAGTCTCTGACTGTTGGTTTAAGCCATGTAGGACGATGCAGACTAGGTGGTTGGGGTCTGCGGGACAAGAGGAACCAGTGGTTGGAGACTCTAGGTGATATGGCTCAGAACCGATGTCAGTGGCGCAGATGTATACACACATTATCCTCATCTTAAAAACGCTATACCGAATCTCACTATTTTGTCACTCCTCTTTCCTTTCTTCTCGTACTTTATATTTCTTTTGGTTGCATTCACTTATCTTCATCCTTCACCTCACTACCTTTTTACTTGATGAACTGACGTGAGGTGTGGCAACTCGGACCGTCACGCAGTAATGCCTGATCCCATGTTGTTATTGATTGATCCTTAAAAATCAGTTTTTTTCAGCATAGTAGATGCCAGGTAATGATGATATGCTGTATGTGGTTGATAATTACCCTTGCTATCTGAGCAACAGCTGATAACTATGTTATGTAGGTCATAAATAGTGCATAGGTGATAGACTCACTGCTATGGATAACAATATAAAGTAGAAGTTAGTTGACCAACAGATTAGGGCTTTTTACCATTCATTCAGTAGAGGTTTTGCAGATTATAACTTGCCTTTTCAGTGTACAGATTTAGTCAACGGTTACACTGAGTTAACAGTTTCAAGTCAATATATCGAGTAAATATATCGCACTTCGATCACTTAGTCTAGCATAAATTCAACTAAGCGTTAATGCAGTACTTTCGGTGTACAAAGTTTTATCTCGAATAACAGAGATCATGTACATAGTAAGTGATGTTTATCAAAATAAAGTAAACGTCATACGATACATCTTTTCAATCGATATCCTATGAACCACTCAAATCCAAAATATACTAAACGCAACAATACCTTATCCATCCTACCTTAGTACACAGATGGACCTGGTACGTCAATACACTTTCATAACTACATCAACATATACTACATTTGCTTAGATTACAATCTATCAGACAATAAAATTGAACATATTAGCTTACTTAAATAAATACTTTGCCCAAACAACACAGTGGATTGGTTCAGAAGGAGTATTACGGATAGTGCAAGCAGGATAATGACGTTGGCCTAAATCACGAGGTTGACATTCATAACATCCAGTACGATAGGTTACTATTTCATTTGATGATTCATTTGTTCTAATCCCAGGAATTAAAGGGTCAACTTGTCCCAAATAACCAGCAGTGCCAGACTCGATTAAAGGTACCTTTGCTGACACACACATACGATTCACATGTTTTCGTGCGGCTAAAAAAGTAAACAAGTATATAACTTAAAACAAGGTTACTATACCATACAAAATTATAAGCCTTATCTAAGAAACTAATCAACTATATACAACCTAAAGTACAAGAAGAACACATTCGAACCAGTCTGAACCTGTCGACCACTTCATTTACCCGGGAAGTGAGACCAGTGCTGGTGGCTCAGTGGACGATGAAATCTTTGCACCGATACAGAAGGCTCGGCTGGCGTTTACCAAGTTACGCCAAAGTGACGCCATCGTGATTTCCGATTGTCTATTAAGGGTCACGTGTACTGCACAACAGTTCGCTCTGTCCTACTGTATGGCTGTGGAACATGTGCATTGAAGGTGGAAGACATAATAAGACTTGAGGTGTTTGACCACTGTTGCTTCCGTAGTATACACCGCATTCCATGGTGTCACGAAGTGAGTAATGTAGATATTAGGTGTGCAGTTTTAGGGAGAAGAGATAAGTCAGTTGACACGTCTGTAAACCTTCATCGACTGAGATGTTTGGCTCTGACATGTATAACGTATACCCAGTCGCCAACTGCCTCGTCAAACAATGCTGGCCGAAGTAGGTCCAGGCTTGTAAAAGGCTCCAGGCTCTCGGCCAGACTAAAACATGGCATCAACGCTTGAAGTCTTTGACTGTTGGTTTGAGCCATGTGGGGTGATACAGGCTAGCCAGTTGGGGTATGCGAGACAAGAGGAACCAGTGGTTGGAGGCTGATTCTAGCCGATATGTCTCAGAACCGATGTCAGTCGAGCAGATATATACACACATTATCCTCATGTTAACGACGCTATACCGAATCTCATCACTTTCTCATTCTTCCTTTCTCTCTTAGAATACTTGATATTTCTTTTGACTGAATTTTTTTCTTCACCTACTTCACTACCCTTTTACTTGATGTACTGATATGAGCTGTGGTAACTTGGACCATTACGCAGTAATGCCTGGTCCTATGTTGATTTAGATGGATGATGGACAAGAACATACGCTCAAGTCAATAAACTGTACGTCAGGAAGTGGATGGAGACATTGAGAAAGAAATGAAAACAAGCACACTAACAACCACAAGAAATTATAATTTAAAAAGACAAAGGGAATAAAAATAAATGATACTGGAAAGTACATGAGCATATGGCAAATGCATGTACATCACGGCAATCGATTTTTAGTTATATCATCTAGAATCTGCATCCGTTTCGGTTACTTTGTAAACAGAAACTGCAAAGCAAGCAGCTACCCACCAGGCCTTCATCGCAGACAAACACTCAAAGTCTTCATCAACAGGTGCCACCATTAACCGCTGTTTAAACTAATCCTACTTTGTTGTAGACGATGCATTAGCGTGCATAAACTGAGATGAAATGGACTCCGCGCCTTTTACATAATCGTGCAGTAGACAATAAGCTATACTTATTGTATTAGAGCTAATGATACTACCTGTCTACCCAAACTTCAATAGGTGGACCGGGGTTCGAACCTTTGGCGTAGTGGTTGAAAGTCATCTCGCCAAACCAATGAACCACACCTCCGGGTCATATAATATCCCTTAGTGACCTTAGTGAACGTCTTACGAATTTCTCAAGACGAACCCATATGTTTTCAAGGTCATTTGTGTACACTCTAGTTGCAAGATCAGCGGTGTTTTCTGTGAACAAGTTGATGTGAGTACCCACCATTCTAGACTGCGGTAAGCATGACTTCTGAGCGTCTGCGCATATGGAAGTTCCTAACTCTTCCCACTTTTACAAATGGTAGGATAGATTCTTCTGATCTATAATTTACCCACTGAAAATGTCCCTTCTGTCGTATATACCATTAGTCGTGATTTGAAATGACATTGATGTAACTCACCTAATCCAAGTTAAGCTGCTCTCCTTGGTTAAACTTACGTTTCCGAAAAACATTTATTTATTGCGACCACACAAGCTATTTATACAAACTTTACGTCAAGTTTGCAGATTGTTTCAAAGTAAATATCTCTCCAATGCTGACACTACTATACTGAAGAAACATTTGTTACAGCTTCAGTCAATATTACAGGTGTTCAAACTCCCATGTGGCATTAAAATCACTTGGTTGTAGAGCTAAATGATATTCTTTGAAAACCGATTCTGTCCTCAAAAATTCCGTAGTATGAAAACTGGGATGACTTCAGATGAAACTATCTCTTCTTTTAATAATAGGTACACAAGCAATTATCACACCAAACTCGTAATCTAGACTTCTCAAAAGCAATCCAATTCTCTGCAATAAACCGATAATGCAGTCTTCATATGCATATGCAGCATCAATATGGTTAATGAACACACACAAATGATCTTAAACTTGACATACAATATCTACAACTTGGTTGGTAGTCCTTAAAATTTCTTGTCAACCCTACCAAGCTTCAAACAGCGAACAACATTGACGTCAGGTGTTAAACTGAGTTTACCGATGATTATAAGTTGGAGCTAAGATGTGCTGTGCATATCCTGTTATTTTGCCAAATTTCACGGTAGGTGAAGTGGTAGTACAGTGTACAAAGTCTAAGACTCATTAAACCAAGAAATATTATAACTGTTGGTCATGTAGGAGGAAACTGATCACCCTAATCGGCACCAGTTAAGAAGTTATCAGTGTTAGACACACAGGTCAAGTAATGAAATTAAATATCGACTAAGATGATGTAAATGTACGCATCAGTGCATGTTATACTCTACGAATACTCTTTATTACTGCTTCGTTTTCTCTTACATTGCTGTAATTACCTCTAATATTTCCAACACAACTGTTTCACTTGATATGGTTTGGTTAAGCTTTCGTACAATTTAGACGGAAAACTATTTTTATTAGACTCGTCGCTTTTGTCGAGTTGACTCAAATAATAAAGAATTTTTGCCAACCTCTCAGACTGTATACCTCCCATAATGACGCATAAAAGAAAACGTAAAATTGTGAAAAAAATTTCTAAGACTAGCAACTTCGTCAATTACGAACAACCAACCTCTTCGAATGCTTAGTCGAAACAATTAATTACAAGTGTTTGGCAGAAGCACTAGCGATTACAAAAGTTTGAAAAATCCGATTACTAAGTCCATAAGTCACTTCGACGACATTAGGATGAACGAAGGACGTTTTTCTCAGTAACTTCCTCTGGCTCTACAGTTAGATGTTTATATGGTCTGATCAGAGCATAATTTTGTAAAAACAGTGAAACCTATTGTGGTAGTTCGTTGGTACATTAACCAATAAACCAACGGGCTGCTTCAGAAATCTTACTGCTGTCAATGCAAAACTATTACCTAACTAAACAGTATAGACATATAAGTGTAGAACCTCAAAAAGCTTCTAAAAAGTTTCCTCTTGGTTAGTCCAAATTCCCTTTGGGTTATAATGAGAGTTTTTAAACGAAGTCGTTTCCCGGAAAAAAGAAAAAGCATAAATGTGTATGATAGCATTCACAACATTGGGTGAAAAGAACAGTAGACCTTAATATAATAATGATCATAACTAGTTCATGAAGGTTAAAACTACTTACCGGAATTGTCCAATGCGCTAAAAACAACAGTAAAACTTCCAAAGAATGCAGAGTCAAATGTTGAACTGTAAATAAGTGAGAAAGGTAACTAATGAACAGTACCTGAATATACTTTTGTGATAAGCATTAATTTTAGCCGTTGGTTTGAACGCAAGGACGTTTTCTCTGGCCATCTAGATTAAATTAACAGAAAGAGAGAATGTTAACCTCAGCCTTGGACCGCCCAACATGCTTCTTGTGAAATAGAAACTGTCTGTTCAAGTTGCTTATATCTATAGTGTCAAGATCAACCTAAGACAACACATGACACATGATTGAAAACCTTACAATTGTTATTTCATTGAACCCACTGTACACTAAATTCTTCAACAATTCACATCCAATACCCCCTGCACCAACTACTAAAACATTCGGACACTCTGGTACCGCGCCCATTTTTAAGCGATCTGTCTTTACAGACCTTGACAATGAATGAGATAAACAATAACAACACAGTACTTCTACTCTAAAATACATAATATGTAGGTTTCGTCTAAGTAGAGGAAACGCATTAAGTGACTCTAGTTTCACATGTGTACGTGCAGTTCAAACTTCAGACTTCGTGTTGTAGAGTTAGTGAACGGTGGTTCCTTGTGTTCTAAGTCTGTCTTATTGGAATACGTTCTGAGTTTGGAATAGTCACAACTATCTTCCCGGTTCCGAAAAACCTGAAAGGATAGAGATACGATTAATTAATTAATCTGGTCTCAAAGTAGTATTACTGCATCTGATAGGGGGAAAGCTTCTCGAGTACAGCCCATCGGTGCCGCAGGACTCGAGATGTGCGTCTAACCTCCTTTTAAAAGTATCAGGTGTGGGACTGTGACAACTGCTGGGGGGAATTACACAGTTTACAGACTCTAACTCAAATTGAGTTAGCACGGATCTTTGTACGTTCTCTCTCGTGCTCCATTCTTAACGGGTGACCACTCAGGTCCAGTTTGTGACTAAAGCTTAGAAGGGATCTGTTGGGATGGAGGGGATTATTGGCGATGTGGTGCATCACGATCACATCCTCTCTGATCCTCAGGTATTGTACTGGGTGCAGCTAAAGAGCAACTAAGCGGTCTGGGTACGGTTTGTGCCGTAACCCAATCACTTTCTTTGTAGCTCTTCTCTGTACCCGTTCTAGGATGGCTATGTCCTTTTTCAAGTATGGGGACATCACAAGCGGATTTTTTTCCAAATGAGGACGAAGGTACAGAGCATACACTATGGTGAAAAGAGGAGGAGTTAGACACCCTAAAGTTCGCGAGAGAAACCCTAGGATTCCATAAGCCCTATTGGCTGCAAGGCGATAGTGGACTGAGGCTTCTAGTGTATCGTTTAGTGTAACCCTGAGATAAATAAATAAATATAAATAAATGTTTTATCCTCACGCTTAAAAAAGATTTTAACATGAGAGAAGCTAGTCTGCAGGCTTCATCACGTTGATACATCTCAAAATATCTACAAGACTTGAGCCCCGAGTGGTACTGACGGAATGCCGTTAAACTAAATTAAAAACTGCCGAATGTCACGCTAGTTATGAAATGAACAAGGGAATATTACTTTACAGCGCACATAGAATGTTAAAACTTAGACAATAGTAAATATTATCCTTATATAATGGGTTGAACATGAGGGATACCAGCTTACATGCACCGTCAAATTCATAATTTTTAAAAGTTTACGAACTGGTATTTGGCGTCAAATAATTTACATATCAAGTCATTGGTGTGCATAATCTTATTAAAGTTTGCTGAAATTCATGAGACGGATATGGATTTCCATCTCCCATCTCACAGACGGGTTTCATTATCAATATCAAAGGCGTGCAGTGTTCAAAGTTTGCGTTATAATCAACTGACGTTGTTAGTCCACTCGCAAAGTTTGCTGATTAGTAATATAACAGTTTATTACTTAGAATGATCTTCAGTTCCTAGCTTCGCTAACCGCGAAGGACTCAATTATACAATCCGTAGTATCAATAAAGTATCCACAGTTACATAACCAACGTCTATGGCTATATCAATGCATCTCCAGGTCACCATGTTACGCTTAAAGGTAATATGGATTAATTCTGCCGGGAATGCTTGTTGTACTGGATGAAAATAGGTGCTTAAACAGTCAATAGTCCAAGTGGCAGTATTTATACATAGACTTCGGGTATCTTTTGTATTAGCATAGGCGGCATCATTCGAGAAGTGTATTTGATGCGTAGTAAGTTCCATATGAAAAGGTCTCTTGGTAGAGTAATAGAAAATGTGTAGTGTGAAGCCATTGCAGGTATGTGACGTCCTGAGCCAATATGTTAATTGGTCTCTGGTTTAATCATCTTTTCAGAATGTCTCTGCCACTTATATTGTTGGGAATGGTCAGGCGGTTCGTCGCAAGAAAAATCATGACCAGTAAGTGAGTCAATCTTGAAGATGGTCCAGAATTCGCGAAGGAGTGGGAGCAGTGCAATAATTATCGGCATCAATGGGCAGGTGTTATTCCCATAAAGTAATCACATTCAGACTGAATTTGAACATCAAATGTCGACTTGCAGCTGTTTCTGCGAATGGGGAAAGAAAGAAGAGGCGCGAGCAGATATGGATAGAGAAATTACTACGCTATAAAGTTTGGAGAAGAGAGAAGTCTCCATTCTTTTTTAGTTATTCGGACTTTGTGTACATTTTCGTGCATATATGTGAAGTCAACTAAATAGTCCTTCCATTATAAGGTTCTTAAGCTTTTTGCGGGGGTGTACCGTAGTGTCTTTGAGAGGTGAACAGTGTTCTTTAAGTTCACTTTACGGAAAGGAGCCAGTATTCATCCTCTTGTATGCAATCGTAAGGCCATCTGCATTAAAGGAACTGGAGGGCTTTAATAAAACTGATTCTTACATTTAGAGATCTGAGTACGTTCATAGTGGACACAATGGCTTGACCATTGTTATGTGCCGATTGCTCCATTATGCTTCGTATTTGTGAATATAGTATGAATGTCAAGAAATTTATAGATATCCGCGACAAGAAAATATTCGTTGAGTAGACGTCGAAACTGAAATGCAGACATGCAAGAGCGAATAAAATGTGGAAGCTTATTCCACAACTTGCTGTACTGTAACATAAAGGATCGTGACCTAAGTTTAAAGTGATGCTTTTCTGCAGGCATAGTGCATTCACGATTGCGTAGACTGTATGAGGACACAGGCTTAAAAGTAGGAGCACAATATGCGTCAGTAATGCCGTGCAAAAGGCGGAAAAATAGGTTAAGGTTGAGCTTAAGGTGTCTCAGCCAAATTGGGTCAATTTTCAGTTTCTCACACCTTCCCTCATAATCAAGTTCTTCGTGGCGGCCCAGCACATAGCGGGTAAACTTTCTCTGAACATTCTCAATGAGTATCCTATCCGAAACATACATATTGCTGAAGATGATTGTGCCATATTCAAGTACTGGGCTGATCATTGCCTTGAATAAAAGCAGTCTGGCCTCAGTGGTATGTACGTGTTTAAGCAAAAGGCCAACTGAGCACCTACACTTGGAGGCAAGTGACTGGGCATACTCTGTAAACGTTAAGTTCAGAAAATACTTGAATCACATACTGAGTTATAAGATTGCAGCACAGAATCACCAAGGTGTAAACTGACGTTAGTGTAGGAACCACTGAAACAGAGAACTCCGCATTTACCGGAGTTAGGTGGAAGTTGCCATATTTCACTCCAAGCGAACAAATACGTCAGGTCCTCCCAAGTTCTATTAAAACCCTGACTTAGTGGTGAGTCGTCAACAAACAGGCAGGGTTTACCATATTTTATCACGTTAGAAGTACCATTTATGTAAAGAAGGAAGAATAAGGGCCTCAAAACACCACTTTGAATGACAGCATTCAAAATACGCTTCAGGGAGGAATAGGTGTGACCAAACTTTACTATTTGAGTACGCCGTCTAATGAATGAGCTTATCCACAATAATAGAGGGTCACTAATTCCAAATGATTGAAGCTTCAGAATTAACCGATTATGAGACACTTTTTGAAATGCTTTTTTGAAGTCGAAAAATAGGGCAGTTTTGAAAAGACCTTCATCTTGTCTGCAGGTGACCCCCTCAAAATAATCCAGTAAGCAAGTGCTACATGAAAGATGTTTTAAGAAACCATACTGCATAGGGGAAAGTAGCTGATGCTCAGCCACGTAATCAGTAATTTCTTGCACAACCACCTTCTCCATGATACGAGAGACTACAGATGTAATATTTGTGGGACGATAATTTTGAATATCTGGCGTCGACCCAGATTTATACGTGTGAGATATGTATGACAGCTTCCAGCGGTCACGGTAGCATGCCTCAGTGAGGGATGTCGAGAATAGCTTCATGAGGATCAGTGGCATATCTTCACCATTCCTCTTAAAAAGAACAGATGGGATCCTATCCGGTCCGGCAGAATATGAGTCCTTTAGTGAAGCAACTGCATCACCTATCTTTCTCTGTGTAAAGGAAACATTGCTCAGTGAGTGGTGTGGTGGAATGGGCATTCGTGTGTCTAGTACACTATCTTTGTGCATGAAGCAGCTTGCATAAAGTTTACTAAACAGCTCACAGACCTTGCTTGGGTCATCGTAATGGTCAGACTACTGGAAATAACTCTAGATAAGTTTGCACGGGATTTTAGAATTCTCACTAATGATTGGACTTTGCCTGTTTGTGCGTTGCAGCTAGTTTTTGCTTGATTGCTTTCAGTAACTTATTCGATTTGATGTTCTCATGAGCAATTTTTAATGAGACAAGAGGTGAAAAGTCATTAGATCGATAGAAATTTCTGGCATGTCTGCGAATGCTGATACGTACATTTTCGGGGATGAAATCCGCTTTCGGCTTTCTAATTAATACTGATACCTCCGAGCAATATGATAGTGAATTACATTCATAGAACTTTAGATGTCACTTAGTTCATGGGTTGAGCTACTGGTGAAATAAGAACCCTAGTCCAAGCATCGCAACATGTACAGCATCTCTTCCCAGATGGTATTTTTACGTCGTCTAACTGTGGTTGTTTTTGACCTGGGAGCTAACATAGTTCTGGGAGATAGTCGGAAGTCACCAGACACTACTCCGTGATCGCTGCCCGGGAATTCTGGATCGACTTGAAGAGTGAAAGGCAATGATC